CGATAAGACGGTAGCAGAAATCCTTTTAGAACATCCTTTGTTTATGACGACGTCGCCACCACTGCCTCCAACGAATTAGTTTCCAATACACCACTATGACAGTGTCGGTCTATTTGGTCTGTGTGCAATATTATATATCAGATTATTGTCAAGATTGTTATAAACATCGGTCTAAAAACCTTGCTTCTTTTTTCGGGCGGAAAATAAGGTTGACAACAGCATTAAGTAGATGCACAAGAAAAAGACATATCTATTCAAAATAACGTCCCTTCTCTCAACTAGTCGTAGCAAACCAGGATACCAAATTTTTTCATTTATAGCAGCATAATCACGTCAAGACTACTTTAATGTATTTTGAGTGATTATACCCAAACATGAGATAGTTATAAAAATTTGCATATGCTGTAGAAAATCGAAGGTCACTTTTTCGGTCAAAGCCATTCTAATCCAAGACGTTGGCCAGAAAGTGGTTGTCTTTTCTCAATATGAGATAATCGCTGCCGCTAGCATGTCACGAAAACGCTGGGTAACCATCCGACTCACCAAGGCCCACTGCTGAAAATGGGAAATCAATCCTCACCCATGAGATTACCACACGCAGCGCGCCTTTGAACCGCACGGATTTGATCTGTTAGCCATATTATGTTCTCCTTGATTTTTCAGTAGTAATGCCACCTGAGTGATCGGTTTCAATAGTTGTTAACAAATACAGAGTGTTAATACTATCGGAATCGACTTTCTCAACCCCTATGTCCGTCACTCCCCCCTCCCCACACACACTCGATGAACTGATTCAAGACCAGTGAGCGCCATGTCATTCTCTGCACCAACCATTCACACGATTACCTGTTAGGTCACCGTTTCATAGTGATGAGAGGTCGTTTCTTGTGTCCCCCCCCCATGCGTATTACACAAATATTAAAGTTCATGTACAGTAGGCTATCACCAACTGATAAAGATATATGGACATTCTATCTGAAGACATTCAGTAATGTAAACAATTATCCAAACTATCATCACCGTTATTGAATCCTAGCTTACATAAAACAGATGCTTCCAACCAGCTCTGAAAAGTAGCGGTTAAAATGAGTTTCATCAAGAACTTTATTCAATTTTCATCAAGAAACAAATACGACCATAACTGATTTAATACTCAGCATAGTGTTGTGCTTCCAAGCGGATGAACGTGGAGGGTACTCTTGGGAAGCAGAGGGCGACCAGCTATGTGGTTTTACTATTAGACGGCTTCAACCACCACCATTATTTGTTTGCGAATAACACCAAGGTTATTGACCAGCTGAGGTAAAAATGCTCCCTTCTAATAAGTTGGAGAAAAAGTTTTGAGAAAAGCTTGTAAAACATTTTATTATGCACCTATTACAACCGAATGGAGACAAAACTAACTACCTTATTATCTATTATATATAATAATATATATAACTATTATATAATATAATATAAAACTTAACAAAAACCAATATAATAAAGTTCGCTCCTGAGCCAGATTGATGCGTTCACTTGCCACCGTTATATTTGAACCCAAAAAGCCATTCGTGCATCATCATTAACCTAATTTGCTCGTTTGTTAACTCCATCTTGAAATAAGCCGATAATATTATATGCCAATCAACACGGGAGAAGACGGGCTAGCCTAATAACGCAGAAAATGGTAAACAACCAAACAAATTTATATAGTCATTTTTTCAGATTCTTTTTCCCAACCTATTATCATCTATCGTGATCTTTGATGGGCATTGTGACTCAAGCAGGCGTCTCACTGAATCCTCCACTTATCCACGTCGCGGTCAAAGAGTAGCTCGGTGAGAGATCTAATTGTTCTAGGAAACTGTATCATACGTTTTCCACGATCTTGGAAATGGCCCTCAAACCTTCGAATCAATGACGGCAATACCTCAAAAAGTACGAAGACCTAAGTGAAGGATGACTGCGAGGAAACGACCTCAAAGTGAATACGAATGTTTAGCAAGCTCTATAGAACATATAGACTAGATGTTTGAAGAGCAGTTTCCCCACTACTTAGCAGTGTAGACGAAAACTGCTTGTCGCGAGGCACTGCTCCTATTCACATCAAATGTTTTCGAAATTCCTAGTGTTTTTACAGCATTTTTCGCAGTGTTATGATTGTTTTATACATACCTAAGAGAACTGAGTGGTCAGCAAAATAAGACCTCGAGCGGGAGTTGAACCCGCACTTCATCCATACCGGGGACGCGTGCTACCACTACACCACTCAGTCGCTCCACACACTCATTCTCTACATCCCTATGATAGCTGTCAGCCACCTAACCATTGACAGGTCAATCGAGTATACGATTTCGCTTTGTAAACTCAGTTGGGCTGACAACCGCTGTGATAGATAAAAGGATAAAGGATAAAGCTCTCGGCGTTAATCACAATCCCTGAGGGATGCGCCATGCATTCGACTTCAATTTTTAATTTCGTTTGAGGTGATTGAATGCACATCTGGCCTTTACAATGACTCGCGGTGGCCTCCCGCTGGAACCGAGTCAGTGCTGCTTATCCTCCCAGACAAGTCTGAGACCTGTCTGGTACCAATTTACCGACCCCGGAGGGATGGCATGGCTTGGTGAGCCATGAGCGCGAGATCGAACCAGTGACCTCGTGTGCGACGCAGGGCACCTCTAACCGCTGCGCCACATGCGCTCTGCTGTGATAGATAATGTTCGAAATTTCTAGTGTTGTACTGCATTTTTCGCAGCGTTACAAGAAATTTCGAGTATTGTCTATCACAGTCCGCTGTCAGCTCAACTGGTGTTTTATAAGCGAAATCGCAAACCCGACCGAACCTGTGAAAGGTTTGTGGCTGACAGCTATCATAGAGATGTTGAAGAATGAATGGCACGATGGTACCTTGGTGTGTGTTGTTGGTAGCACGCGTCCCTGTTATGGACTGAAACTGCGTGTTTCGACTCCTGTCTGAGGTCGGTTTCTGCTCACCGCTTAATTCTCTTAGGTATTAATTGTATTTCCCGTCACTTGGTTAAAATCCTATCTGTAATTTAGATAGTAAAATACATTTTGCATAAATGAAGATTGTGATAGCCAAAAAAATTTTTTAGAACGTCTTCTACGCATGCATATGTGCTCGATATTCTAAAAATTTGTCCTCAGCAGATGTATTATGACAATGCCGACTTATTTTGTCCAGGTTTAATATTATATATCACAATTTATCGCGAAAACTGGTGTGAACATCAGTGATTTTTCACTATTTTGCCTTTTCATAAAAGAGCAGGATTAATGACATTCTTTGGTATACGGAAAAGATAAGAAGTCAATTTTCTTCTACTGAGCTAATCGAAACACTTCAGATACCAAATTTTTTATCGAGACAAACAATCAATACCATCTTGTGATTGGATTAGTGTAGGCTAGTACTAGGAATTTCTAGTATGCTAAATAGTCGAGACACTCGTTTTCGTTGACCCCATTCTGATCTAAGACGGTGTGTAGGTAAGTAACTGTCTTGGCCATGAAGGTATTCGTTGCCGCATAGTGTCGAATAGATTGAAGTGGTGCACCACTTCTAAGAACGAAGTGTCCTTAGTAGAGGGGAATCTTTAAACCGGAGTAACTTTGATCTATTAGCCCCTCTTGTCTTGACAAATTAAACAACCTGCAGTGGTCGATATCGAAATAAATTTGCAAATAGCGTGTCAATACTCTTAAAAACTCACAGTCCTTCTGACATTACAGTGGACAGTCATACAATGATGAGTTGAAGGATTAGCTGAAGTATATCGCCACATCGTATCTGATATATTACCGTCTCAGCATCATGAAAGGCCGCTTCTTGTGTCAATTTGCAGTACACAAATCGATCTTCATGGTACAGTAAGCTTCCATCAACTGCACAGATGTTCGAACATTTCTTTCTGAAAGCACTCAACCAAGTAAGCAACTGCTAGGAATGAACACCGTTTCTCGGCACCCTGCCTATCTATAAAATACATTTTTTTTGCGCGAAATGAAGTTACACTAAGATCTTGCCAGGTTTCGTAGATTTATGAGCTTCCTTAAGAAAGGTAGAATAAACTGATCGTTAACGAGAATCAGTTTTTGGCAGAAATTTGTTTTAATAGGTTTGTCCTTAATGAATTATTTTTTATAATTGCATTGGTATTCACTCAAATGTTGCTCAACGAAGAAAGCATACAAATGGAAATGCGCTTCTTCAAGCAGGTGAGACACTTAGGTAGCTGTTGAATAACTCAAATTGTGCGAAATCCTAAAGAGTTCACTCCTTATTGCAGACAGTTGTACCAAAATGCCACATTTATCTGGACACAAATCGGCTTCCAGTGTATCCTTCCTCTATTCGAAAACAAATGGGCACTAATCTTAACTCAAACATTCCCACGGAAACTATGTCGCGCACTGGACGGGTATGTATCATATTGACTACCTTCCATCGTTCTATATGGATACAGTGAAAAATGTTGTTTTATAGCCTAATAAAAGTCCACTTTGAGAAAGAATAAATAATGCTGAGACATGACTATTCGAAAAAAATTGAAACTCTGGATACATTTCATTGGCTATTTTCACTTTTCTGATAATTTGTAATGCTTAATTGTCGAATCTTTCTTAACACTTTTGAGTAAAATTTTCCACATACACGTCTTTTGTATTGGGTAAGTTAAATGGAAGGAGACGCATGTAATCAAGTGAACCAGTGTCATAAAAACTCTCTGTCAAAAATAATAGGAAATTGGTAGAAGATTCCAACTTTGCAAATGCTTATTCAAGAGCGAGCGTTATTCTTGCTTGAATTTATCGATAGGGAATTGGAGATACTAGAAAAACGATGCGTATAGGGTTCTCCACTCCTTCTGCAAATTCATTTTTTTATAAGCTGGCTTATTTGCTTTAGTGAATAACTGAGCATAGGGTCGAGCTTACAAAGAATTGGTTAACTTCCAGCCTCATCGTTGCACTGTTTCGCTTTCGAATCTCTCAAATCGGTCCTCAAGAAGACACCTACAAAACTATCAAAGGTACGTAGCCAAATCGCTTATGTCGAAAAATGAACACAACAATCCTTACACTATATTACTGTCTCAAACGTATGTCCGAAGTATACTGTATGCATTTGATAGCCATCATACCTTTTGGGCAAACGCAAAAAGCAACCATGAACTTGCGGAACGCGTGTAGCGGCGCCAATGTAACGTCAAGAAATTGAGGAACTTATTGTTATAACGTTATTCTTGTAGCCATGATTACATGTCGTGTTGCATGGAAAAATTTTGCTCGTCTTCATATATCAGTTGTGATAGTAAGCACTGACTGATAACACGCTATGCGATATAACAATAATCGACATCTTTTTCTGTTAACACAGTTGAGTATTTGTGACAACCCATGAAAATTCAGTCTCGACAGACAAATCATTCGCGTTTGCATACTCTGACTTTTAGCATTCGTTATCAATTGTAGCGCATCGACATTGCCGCGTGCGACAGACCTCACAATCTGTAACTGAAACTTTTTTGCGTGCGGCTAATTCCTGTGTTTTGGGCTCATTTGAAAGCCCGTCTTTTCCCACTTTGATTGGCATATAATTTATCTACGTGTTTCAAGATGGAGTTAACAAGCGAGCGAATTAAATTGTTGATGATGCACGAATGGCTGTTAGGTTTCTACTCCAACGGTGGCGAGTGAACGCATCAATCTGGCTCAGAGCGAGCCTTATTATAATAGTTCTTATTAATTCATTTTATATATTAGTTTTATATATATATTAGTTTTGCCTTTGTTCGGGTGCATATATAAATGTTTTACAAGCATTTTCTCAAAACTTTTTCTCCAACCTATTAGGAGGGAGCATTTTTACCTCAACTGTCACTAACCTTGTATTTAATTCGCAAACAAATTAATGGTGGTGGTTGAGGCCGTCTATTAGTAAACCACAGAGCTGGTCGCTCTCTGTTTCCAAGAGTATCCTCCACGTTCATCGCTTGGATGCACACACTATGCTGAGTATTAAATCGGTTATAGTCCGTATTTGCGAAGACAAATCGAATACTTTTGCATATGGAAAAATTTAGTGTGTTAGTGTAATAAGCCACAAAAGCGCTTATAAAAGCTAGTCAGTAGTGCATATTTCTCATTTATTCATTGTTGTTACCCAGTATTCACTTCTTCGGAAGCGTGCCTTCGGAAATGTTTGACTGTGGAAATGCGATTCTGTTTAACCTTCCTAAGTTTCGATGAAAGGGAGACCTTTCAACTTCTAGACAATATTGCATGGTATTGTGTCAGATTACGTGAACAGGACAATGATGAAGAGATAATTGATAAATAACCGTGAAAAATGTTGCCACCCAGAATCTTTCCCTACCCATTGGTGACGATAGGAGGTGTTCGAGATAACGTGAGGCACAGGTACAAGAAACCAGTCGACTTCTGTGTACTCTACATGCCCGACTTTGAGAGCTGACTGTAGCATAGACATATTAATGACGATCAAAATAATCCTGTCTGAAAATTACGTCTCTTTCTCGGTATTATGCAAACCAATAGTCAGAAATATGTGTCTCCAAGGAAGTATTCTCGGTACTTGTCCTCTATGCGCAGCGATTGTCAAAAAAATCGCCTTTTTTTTTGACACTATAGAAATTATTCGGAAGTTTAGCTCCAAAAATTGGAAGGGCGTATTTTATTTTCAAATGGTTTTTACATTATAATGTAAAAGTTGAAATAAAAAATTATTTCACACTCACGCATCTTTCGCTGGCCATAGCTTTTCATTCAGATTTCCAATAACCATCCATTCGTTAGCAAAGGTTTGAATGATTTCAGTGATGTACTTGGTTTTCGGAGACCACTTTTCAATGACCTGTTACAGTGAAAAGTATAGTATGTTTCGCACTGGACGCACATGGCATGCAACGTGTGTATTGTGCTGAGCGATCTACACGGCACCGAATGCAAAACTCAATATTCATTTAGCTCTAACAACGCCCTATGAAATTTTCCCAAAAACCAAACATATTGCTGAAATAGTTAAGATCTGCGCTATCGAGTGGGAATAAAAGTTTGAACGAAAACCCGTGCTCAGCGAAAAGTACTCAAACGTGTATTTCAATATTATTATCATTGCTACAGCTCTCTAAGAGCCTTTTTTCAAAGGGCAAGCACCCCACTGAAATTTATGAGATTTAATCTATGGACTGGTTCTTGAAAGGCGATGGCTTGATGCTAATGATGTAA